CTGCCGAGGTGGGTCCTATCATTTGGCGAAGTAACGAGCAGACGGTAAAACGTGATAGATTGAAAAGTGATTCAAAGTGCACGAATAAATAATAAAATATGCTACAAAAAGATGTGTATAAACATAAAATTTACAAATACAAATAAAATAAAAATAAATTTAAAAATTAAAAAATAAAGTGTCAGAAATAAAGTTTTATGAAAAGTCGGTTATAAAACGTGCTAACGCGTAGACAACAAAAAATGTGAAACGCAAATGTGAAGATGCGTAATTTAAGATACAAGTATAAAATTGTAAAAAGTATTTTTATGCTTCAAATATCTACATAAAGAAAACAAGGAAGTTACATGCAAATACATGTGTCACATGTGCCTAAGGTGTGTTTATGATCAAACTTTACTTAATAGGGTAAAATTGAGATCGTACAGATTGTGTTATAATTTTTTTAACGAATTTTTAATAATGTCATGAACGACATGCGCGAATATGAATATTTACTACCTTCTTTCTTTCTAAATCCTGATATTAATTCTTAGTAATTTTTAATAGCTTATTAATAAATAGGAGATATAAGAACATTTGGAAAGCGGGCATGAAAGTCGCCAGCAGCGGCATATATACGATATCGAATCGGTCGTGTCTTTTCAATCACCGCGTGTAACAGGTCGTTGTGTAGTGGAATTCTTTTCCAATAATAATTCACCTGAGATATCGTAGGACGCGATTATACTATATGATATAAATAGATTCTTAATGGGCGCGTTTGAAATGTGCAATTATTGTACGAAGGATCGTTTTGCATTCGATTAACTCGTCGTTTCTTTATCCTTCTCGTTATCTGGCCAAGTATATGCAATGTAAAAATCGATTTTTATAAAGAGATAAATATTAAATTTTATAAATGAAAAATATGATTGTGCGATATTCACTTGATAATCTTACAGCTCTTGTTTATTCACCACTGCTTTCAAATTGTAAAATAAAAAAATATAGAATACAAATTCTTGCAAATTATATTTAAATGGAAATAATTTTCAATAAAATAATATTTGCAATCGCGATAGGATAGACTTATAAAACGTACTAAAAGCTATTTTCTCGTTTTGGGAAGAAATTAAATCATATTTATTTTTAGAATAGAAATAAATATGATACAAGTTTTTTTCTAAAAGAGGAAAATGATTTTCAGTATATTTTATAAGTTTATAATCCTTATTATTAATTTGACAATTTGTCATAACTATAAACATAGTTTATTTCGTTTTTAATTTATTTTCATTTCTCGACTATTACTTGCATTGACTATCTCTTTTTTCTAATTTTTGTTTTTTGACTCTGTTTCTAACATTAGCCTTGTTCGTTTTGTCTCTCAGAAGCTGCTCGAAATCGCTTCGAACGAAGTCGAGCAGATCATAAGAAACAAACGAACAATGCTATTGTATCTATTATATATATTCACATTGTCTATTACAACTATTCTGACAAGCATTCTTCTCAACATATTGCAAAACATAACTGTATGGCCTTGTCGGTGAGTTTTTTTATTAAAGTGACAGTTTACTTGCCTTTATTATCATAAGCTATTGTAACAAATTTATATTTTTTACAATTTATATATATTTTTCTGATTTTTCAAATAAGATAAAAAACAACTCAAACCTTTTAATTTTCATCAGATTATCGAGAAATGATCAACGATTGATCGTCCAATCGTTTGCAAGCGATTTCTGTTTCTTTACAATATAAGGCACTCAGG